TAGGGTTGCCATATCTGAACATTCAAAAAAGAGGACGCTCGCGAAGACATCCTCCCCCCCCCCCGCCAGGAACACACAGGCTAATATACAACATACATGGTATAGAAATCTAAAAAAAAAAATACCTTTGCTTAAGACTGAACATCTTCATTCCCTTAGCTGCAGTCTTCTTCCCCCACTGTGTGTGTGACTTTATGTGCCCATGCATACTTTTCTGTAGATCGGATCTTTTTCAGTATTGGATGATAGCTCTTTAGAAAGGTATAGAAGTCACTGCAAGGTGTTTCTCGGAAGTTGTACTGTACAGTCAGAATGCCTTTCATTGTTTCAACACTCAATTTGTTCCTTTCCTTTGTCCATTGACTTTGCATCAGTGAAAAAACCCTTTCTACATTTGCATTGTGAGATGATATAGCAAAGAAGAATTGTGCAATTCTTAGCAATTCTGAGTGGCATTCAATGTTCTTTGATTTTTCAAAGTATCTGGTCGTCCACTTTTTATGTGTTGGCAGATTACTAAATTCTTCATCACTTGTAATTTTCCACAAACTGCTTCAGGTTACTAACTTGGTCAAAACACTTCATCAACTTCTACCCCCCTTATCAATCAAATATTTGACAGCTAAGTTGACAACACCGTACAGGCGTACAAGTGACTCAGCTGACGAAAACTGAAAGAGATCTCTACGGTTTCCACCTTCCCTCTCTTTCTCTCCCGTCATTACAGTTTCATGTTTTTTTTTTCCGTGGAGAAAATGATGGAAGCTGAAATTCCGGACTTTTGAAGAATTTTATAAATTCCTTCCGGATGAAGATTTCGAGACCTAAATGGAGGACATGTCCGGGAAAATACGGACGTATGGCAACCCTACTGTAAATGCACTAGTGAAGGGGACTGTACACACACCAAAAAAAGTCTGTCAATTCTCTCCCGTCCATGAACCTGTGAATCCGAGACATCACACAGTACACCACTTATGGGCCCAACAATGTATGATGAGTCAGATTCACAGGGACGGAAGGCTGACACAACTAGTGTTGGTGGGTGAACTTAACAGGGATTGTGTATCTAAACATTAATTTCTAATGAGTTTTGTTGTTATTTAGACTTGAATATAGAAAACAGTGTTCTGCAGCTGTAACCAACCATACATTATATGACCCACGAGTAGAGGCCAGATATTAACAAGTGTCTAAGGAATTTTGTCAGTAATTGTATATAGAAAACAGTATTATAAAAAGACCCGGTTGTGTATAACGAGGCAGGTGCTTAAAGATTAAGACAGTTTAGATATAAATAATCTCCTCCTTCAATATCTCTCTATCTAACCTAACCTAACCACTAGCCCTAATCTACTCGCCATCTACTAGCCATAAATTACTAGCCACGAGTTACTAGCCCCCATCTACTAACCACCATATACTAGCTACCAACTGCTAATGACCTCTAACTACCCCTCAGAACACATCAACCACGTCAGAAAAGTCGCCGGTATTGACCACGTCGGCATCGGGGCAGACTTTGATGGCATAAACATGTGAGTATAGACAACAGGTTAAGAGTGAGCTTATCATCGGACAATGTCTTCCTCCCTCTCCCTCTGTACTCTCCCACCTCCTTCCTCCCTCCTTCCCCTCCCCCCCTCCACCCCTTTCTCTCCTCCTTTCCTCTCTCTATCCCCCCACCCACTCCTCATCCTCTCCCACTCCCTTTTTCTCCTCCTCCTTCCTTCCTTCCTCCCTCTCCCTCTGTACTCTCCCACCTCCTTCCTCCCTCCTTCCCCTCCCCTCCCACCTCATCCTCTCCCACTCTTTCTCTCCTTCCTTCCTCTACTTCCTCTCCCTCTGTCCCCTCCCACCTCCTTCCCTCATCTCTTTCTCCTCCCTTCCCACCTTCATTTCTCCTTTGCCTCCCCAAGCTCCAGGCACTGTGTGTGTGTGTGTGTGTGTGTGTGTGTGTGTGTGTGTGTGTGTGTCTAGACTTTTAGCGTCAAGCTTTGAGACAAATTAAAATAATGAATAGCGGTAATTACGAAGTTGACAGATGCTTCGAAGTTCGTGAGATCCCGAGACTAACTGATGAGGTGTAGTGTGGTGGTGGTGATGATGGTGGTGATGATGGTAATGAGGGTGGTGATGATGATGGTGGTGGTGGTGATGATGATGGTGATGGTGGTGATGGTGGTGGTGATGATGGTGATGAGGGTGGTGATGATGATGATGGTGGTGGTGGTGGCGGTGATGATGGTGGTGATAGTGATGGTGATGGTGGTGGTGGTTTCATGACCAGACTTGACCAACACTTCAGCAGGTTCAGATACATTCAGGAGCCTGTACAGTACATACCCAGTACTTACCAACATTGGCGTGACCTACCGCCCAAGCGGCTAATGAGCCGATCTGCGGTGAAGAGGATAAAAGTAAAAAGTAAAAAAGTAAAAGAACATCAATATCATAACCCCTAAAACATGAAATCAGTTCACGAACAACCAAAAATCTACCTAACTTATGATAGATAGTTCACATCTACTGTAATTTACTACCTAACACATTAAAAACAATAATGAAATAATATCTTCATGAAAGTATGCAGCTAAAACCATTAAGGAGAAGCTAAATAAATGTTTGACACAACCGCCATCTGCATAGACGCTGGCTGTGTGGCATCAAGCTTAGCAACAGCAACGCAACACGACTGGGGACACTGCCTCTGTTGACCCTTAGCAATACTCCCCTTCCCGCTCTCACACACAAAGAACTGTTCAGTCCCTTTCTGGTTTTGTCCTTATGATAATTATTTATTTAATTTTTTTTTTTTTGCAAATTGTGTACATTATATAGGATTATGTTTGCATGTAACTGAATAAAAAAATATGAGATATATTTATATAACTGAAATCATGAGCTGAAAACTAAACATAACACACACCTCACCCTGGTAAGGAGAGCGCTAGGGGCACGCAATTTGAATATTTGCCGGGATCCAAATTCGTAAAGCAGGGGAAGCTTTCGTAACATGAAAAAATAGGTGGTAATTTAGGAAATACGTATTAGCGAATTTTCGTATCTCGAACGTTCGTATAGAGAGGGATACCTGTAGTCATTAGAACAAATAATAATTACCTAAGTATCAAATTCTTAACTACAGATCCCTAATCAGCATGTTTAGGAGTACTTATATAAATATTCTGAAAAAACAGCAACTTCAAGATGCAGCTGAAACCTTAAACCTTAATGGGATATTTTACCCTGGACCAACTTTTTCTCTTGGAATTGGAATTTAATTTTTTTAACTACTTAAGTACTATACAGTCACCCACACTAGCCCTGTCACCTCTCCTCCTGAACCACGAACCCAGAAATTTAGACTCGTGAACCCGAAGCAGTAACACCGATGCATTATTCTATCCATAAATGCTTCGGATTCATGAGTCTGAATCTCGAGGTTTGTGGTTCAGGAGGAGAGGCGACAGGAGTTTTGTGGATGACTGTACAGTACATCCAGAATAACGCCCAAAACGCTAAAAACCGCCAGAATTCGAGAGGGTTGACAGTACATCTGGAGACTAGTAAACGACTAACACATCCCTCCACCTACTAACACCCACTCTGTCTTTTTCAGGCTACCTGTCGGGCTGGAGGATGTGTCTGGCTACCCGAGACTCTTCGCTGAGCTCCTCTCTGATCCCAATTGGTCACTACAGGACCTGAGGAAGCTGGCTGGCCATAACCTACTGAGGGTGATGCGTGACGTCGAGAGGGTAGGTGTACAAGCGCATACACACTTTTTCTTTCTTTCTCTAACACAAGGACGCAGGTAGCTACATGGGGTACCTTACCTGAATGAAAAGATAATTGTGTGTGGGTGTGTGTGTGTGTGTGTGTGTGTGTTTTATCCTGCAAATCATCACCATCATTATCATTGACATCATCCATCCATCAACCTACCTACTTAAATAACCACCCATCCATTTATCCATCCACCTATCCATGTATGTATGTATGTATGTATGTATGTATGTATGTACTGTACCGTTTGTTTGTTTGTGTACAGGTTCGTGTAGAGATGCAGCAGCAGAGGTCAGCGCCCTATGAGGAAGAAATCAACAAACTCCCCGCTGACCAACAGTCCTGCTTCTACCGTTTCACCCGCCCTACTGACGACGTTGACTGATCACCTGCTTCCTGACTTTCTTCATCTGCTCACCTGCTGATGTCTGCGGTCCTGCATCTGCTGACCTGATTAATATATTGACCTTACTCACCTTGTCTACCTTGTGACCTGTTGGACCAGGTGTGGGGGTAATAATCTTGGAGTGAGATTCACCAACATTTACAGCTGTTATGTTTAAGATCATACAAGTTGACAGTACAAGTGTGTGTGTGTGTGTATAGGTCATTCTTCTTCCTTTTCGTTTCTCTCCTCATTTCTAAAGGTTTCTGTTCCTCTTGGTAGATAAAAACGTGGATTATTTTGTCATGTGTTCACGTCTATCACTCCTGAACTTAAATATACACCAGAGAATAATAATAATACTCATTCAACATCATCTATGAGACTTCACCTTAACTTAACAGCCACGATGACAAGAGACCGCAATCCTATTTTATAATTATTCATCTTCTACATAAGTAAATTCCTTTTAGATATGTCTGAGCAAAAAACACATTTACATACATTACCTAAGAAATGATTAAAAAGGACCTTGTAAATAGTTAAACGTGTTATGGAAGATGAATATACCTGTAGTATGTGTGATCGTTAGTTTGGTTACCAGGTGGGAGTCGACTCTCTGGCTCCAGTACGTTAGAGACCCTCCTTGACCAAGTTAGACTAGACTCTTGGATTCGATACCTTCAAGTGTGTGGGTTCGAATCCTTGCACCCAATGGAGCTAAAGTGTTCCATTAGTAATAATATCTATCTTAAGTCACCATACTCAAAAGATTTACTGATCCCATTCAAGGGGTTAAATCATCGTAATCAGGAGGTTAAATCATTATATTAGAGGGTTTAATCATTGCAGGGGTTAAATCATTATATTCAAGAGGTTAAATCATTGTACTCAAGAGGCTAAATCATTGTATTCAAGGGGTTAAATCGTTGCAGGGGTTAATTATATTCAAGAGGTTAAATCATTGTACTCAAGAGGTTAAATCTTTATATTCAAGAGGTAAATCATTGTACTGAAGGGGTTAAATCCTCATCATATTCCAGGGCTACATCATTGGACTGAAGAGATTTGGCTTTTGAGGGAAAATTATCAGCAATTTGTTAGTCTCGTGTTTGAAACCAGACTTGTAAACTGTACGTCGTGTCCAACTTTTAATATTGGCAACTTTTTCATATATTTGTGAGTTTTATTATCCTTTTATCATCACAGGTCACTATCAAGTCAGTCTACATGTCACTATCAAGTCAGTCTACATGTCACTATCAAGTCAGTCTACATGTCACTATCAAGTCAGTCTACATGTCACTATCAAGTCAGTCTACATGTAACTATCCAGTCAGTATTCATGTCACTATCAAGTCAGTCTACATGTCACTATCAAGTCAGTCTACATGTCACTATCAAGTCAGTCTACATGTCACTATCAAGTCAGTCTACATGTCACTATCCAGTCAGTCTACATGTCACTATCAAGTCAATCTACATGTCACTATCCAGTCAGTCTACATGTCACTATCAAGTCAATCTACATGTCACTATCCAGTCAGTCTACATGTCACTATCAAGTCAGTCTACATGTCACTATCCAGTCAGTCTACATGTTACTATCAAGTCAGTCTACATGTCACTATCCAGTCAGTCTACATGTCACTATCAAGTCAGTCTGCATGTAACTATCAGTCGATATTCATGTCACTATCAAGTCGGTCTACATGTCACTATCAGAGTCAGTCTACATGTCACTATCGTTAGTCTACATGTCACTATCAGTCAGTCCTACATGTTGCCTATCAAGTCAGTCTACATGTCACTATCAAGTCCCAGTCTACATGTCACTATCAAGTCAGTCTACATGTAACTATCCAGTCCAATATTCCATGTCACTATCAAGTCAGTCTACATGTCACTATCAAGTCGATCTACATGTCACTATCAAGTCAGTCATATCACCTATCAAGTCAGTCTACATGTCACCTATCAGTCAAATATTCATGTCACTATCAGGTAGTCTACATGTCACTATCAAGTCAGTCTACATGTCACTATCAAGTCAGTCTACATGTCACTATCCAGTCAGTCTACATGTCACTATCAAGTCAATCTACATGTCACTATCCAGTCAGTCTACATGTCACTATCAAGTCAGTCTACATGTCACTATCCAGTCAGTCTACATGTTACTATCAAGTCAGTCTACATGTCACTATCCAGTCAGTCTACATGTTACTATCAAGTCAGTCTACATGTCACTATCCAGTCAGTCTACATGTCACTATCAAGTCAATCTACATGTCACTATCCAGTCAGTCTACATGTCACTATCAAGTCAATCTACATGTCACTATCCAGTCAGTCTACATGTCACTATCAAGTCAGTCTACATGTCACTATCCAGTCAGTCTACATGTTACTATCAAGTCAGTCTACATGTCACTATCCAGTCAGTCTACATGTCGAGTGACAATGAAAAGAAATTTATGATTCATTTACCTGAGGTTAAGGCCATAGTGAATGAGCCACCACCTGTTTCATCAAGTACTGCTCAGTACTGGTCCTTGTTACCTTAGTTAACCTGCTGCAGCTATGTGGATCATCTTTGGTACAGTCATTATAAAACTATCTAATATTGACACCATCTGGCATAACTTAGTCTAGGAAAATATCCCTGTGTTTACTGTACCTCTCCCATAGTTTCTTGGAAATTGATGCCAAAAGAAATTTAAAACTCCAACTTTGAGGTGACACTGTCAGTATATATGTAGAAGGTGTTAAATTCATTTAATTAATTACTGAACAATCCACACTTCCCTCGATGACAAGACCAACAAAGTATCTTATCAGTGAGGCTGAGTAGAGTTCTTTTACGACACACGAGCTGTCTTTTACCTGCTAGAAATCTGTCAACAGCAGCTGTAAGTCTGATCCCACACCGAACAAGACCACAATTGGTAGTGGAGATGCACAAGTTCCAACAATTCCCTGAAAAGGGCAGATGGAAACAGACTAAACTTTGTAGCTGTAAATGACATGTAAAATATCATCACAATAATATTGTTATCGTTAGAATTCCCGCCGAAATTTTTGTTTAGCCTTTTTGTGTTTATAAAGTACTGTAGCAAGATTATTTCACATAAACAGCGAATGGTATAACATACAATTAATTACCTGTATATTATAATGGTAATATTTTTAGTAATGTACTTCATAACCATTCACTAATTAAGGTTGAAGCTGCCTCACCTGTTGGGTAAAGTGCCGTAGTGCAGGCACCAGTCTAGTGGCCCTCTTGTGGACGCTCTCAATCATCTGACAGTCTCTAGCATATCTCGGGGACCAGATAGTGAGACTGTCCGCTGCTGTACACGACCACATTGTGGGTCGGGTGTCATGGTCACAGTGTGTGTGATGATTCATATTATGCTCCACGCCCACAAAACATGTGGATAACTGGTGAGTTACCCCGCGGAGGAAACGTTTTTTTCTAGCTTAAGTGCCGTCCATTTTCTCTAACTTTCTGAAACCAACCTCTCTATAAAGTAAACTTGAATGTGTGTGAGGACACCGCTGTTTTGGGTCAACTTAGATATGTCTGATTACAGATGAAGCATTCAAGATCCTTTGTGACTGACTTTGAAAGCTTCATTTGTATTTATTTTTAATGAAATTGTCAATATAAGTCAGGGTAGAGATTACTGTGAGAATGAGGTATTGACGTCTTCCCTAGAGACGCTGTTAGTTGCTAACTAATGCTGAAGCTACCTCTTTGTGATCAGTGAACCTCAGAGAATCTGATATTTGTATCGAAAGTATTGTCAATTATCTTGTTTAGAAACTAATTAATTATTCTGAAGGGAAGTATCAGCCTCCTTATCTTGACCATCTAACGGGGTGTAACCTAATACTCCTTGTCTTATGCTCCTCCCACCAGGGACTGCCATCCTGAAACTTGAAATCAATTTAATTTTTGTCTTTTAAAACTCAGTCATTGCATAGTTTGAAAAAATGACATAAGTCAATTAAAATGAGTTCGTAGCCTGATTTCCACACATGAAAGGTGTGTAGTAACAGAGGTTGTTTTAGATCTGTGTGAGTACACAGGGGTGGGGAAGTACGGGCTGAGACAGTCTCAGACTAAAATCCGCCATCGCCCTATTCACAGATTCCTGTAGGTCAAGAGTGGTCGTTGTATGTTGGGACGACATCCAGCCCTCGTAGTGGAGATGGATGAAACCACGGAGACCGAGTCGCGTTACAGTATATCCACGCGGCCCAGCCAGGCCAGCCGCCCGCCAGGCCAGCCGCCCGCCAGGCGCCAGTCTGTGTTGCAGTCCTTGATCTCACGCACTATAGTTAACACAGCCAGCTCACAGTAGCAGTGTTGTGTTTTGAGTCCACCTCTAAGTAGTGTGTGCTGGGGCTGTGTTATTCATCTGAGTACCCATGTATGCATCTCCTCAGGGTATAAGTGTGTGGAAGCAACAAGAGTATGAGGTCGCCACTTATTTCTTGGCGAATATAGAAAAATATCAGAAAGAAGCTACGTCCGTGATAATGTTAAGGTAGTATTGTTGGTGTGTCCCTAGAGTCCTGTGGTTGGTTAAGAGTTGAGGATCTCAGGTACTGTGTATTGTTGGTGCTCAAGTGACCAGCATAATATGTAAAGTACTTGAGAGTATTATCAGAGATGCCGCGATGGAACATCTACTACGGAACAACCTTGTAAAGGATTGCCAACACGGTTTTATGCCGGGGCGCTCCTGCTTAACACAATTGCTCAAGGTATTGGATATTTGGACCCATATTCTGGAACGGGGTGGTAATATCGACAATATTAACCAAGATTTTGCCAAGGCTTTCGACAGTGGACCCCATGAAAGGCTGAAAATCAAACTGGAAGGGTACGGAATTCGGGGAAATGTCCCAGCATGGATAGAAGACTTTCTACATGACCACAAGCAGTGTGTGGTGATTAATGGCACGAAACCATCATCCGTACCTGTCACAAGTGGGTACCACAGGGCAGTGTATTGGGCCCGCTGTTGTTTGTTTGTTTCATAAATAACATGCCTGACGTTGTACACTCCTCCATACAAATGTTTGCCAATGACGCCAAGTTATTTCGGGAAATCAAGAACCAAGCTACTACTACTAGGCTACGCCCACTGCCGTAGATATTTCAGATTCTTGCACTGGAATTGCGATGGTCATACACAATTTTATAACAAACACGAGGGGATTTGTGCAAACATCACAGTTGCTTGTGTTTCACGTCTTTGCCTTGACGTTCTGAATGTGTACACACACACACACACACACATACACACACACACGCACACACATACACTATCACACAGTAAATTCCATATGATCAATGATATATAACAACGTGAAAACGTTAACACAGGCTCACTCCGCTGGTTACCATGGAAACAGGGAACGCTACCCTCACGCCCTGGGTCTTAGCTCGTCGCGTCGCCAACAGATGGAGGTGACCGGGGCTCAGTGGCTCACGTTTCTTTTATCTTTCCTGTCTGTCTATCTCATGACGTCACCACAACAACACACCTGCCGAGCTCTTGGTCAGTTGTGGGATGGTAACAGCAGGTGTGTGATACAACTCTCCATCACTTTAAGGAAGAATAAAGATCAGAGAAGAAGATGGAAAGGCTTCATAAATGATCAATTATGAAGGTTGTTGGAGGGAGAGAACTACTACCATTACTTTACCAAGAAGACTTATAAAAGGATTAAGAATTGATCAATACCACAACGGCCAGGTAAGCCCAGCCTCCTACACCTAGTATCTCTCTCTCTCTCTTATTCACTCGCTCTCTTTTCTCTTCCAATATTATTTCAGGTAAAGATGGAGGAGACAGTTAACACCAGATATGACTTGAAGAACCTGACCTAACCTACTGTACCTAAACTGGTCAATTTGAAGTTTAGACTAACCACGGTTCTCGAGTTGAGCAATGTGTTTTACTGATAGTTTAAACAATTGTAACACTTTATTGTTTAAACCAGGGGTCCACAACCTTTATACACTAGTCGGCCACTTAAGGTGCAAGTAATCAGTGATCGGCTGCAGATGTACTAAGCCAACCTAAGTCAGCACTGTGTTCCACAGTACTGAATGTAAAATCATAAATGCCGGACTATATTTTATTGTCAGAAAA